TTCTTTTAAGACTTTTTGCCAACTACTTTATCTAGCTTAGCTTTCGCTTGGCCCAGTGGTTCGGGGAAGTATTCACAAAGTTGTTTCAATGTATCCCAGCTGACATCTTTATTGGCTTTAAACCACCTTTCAATTACTTTAATAAGATTATTTGTTGCTTGGCCTGGGATCTGTGTCAGATCAGACACATCTACACCCAATCCAGTCCCTATTAGGTTATACTTACTAGCAGAAGTATGAAATATCCTCAAGACTACTGCATTATTAAGCTACTGGCCTGTGGATTTAAATTGATTGATACATACATAATACATCCTTTGAATAACACTGAAAAACATTATATTACATTTACAAAATGAAAAGAAAAATTGGCCATGCAATAAAACAAAAGATGTTACAGTATACTTTTATATGGCATATCAAAGATAAATATTCATCAATGCTATACTTTATAGTATTAAGAACAGGCTTTACCGTAAGAAGAGTGAGAATGCTTATGCATGATTTATGAATGCACTTAATTAACATACTTTTGGCTTCCCCAACAACATATATACCAGAGCCTTCTGTGCCAGATATGGTATGTTTTTGTTCAGAACCTTTACAATTATAATAATAATAGTATAATAATAATAATAAAATTGTTACACATACCTGATGTATTGAACCAGCACCAATAGCTGTCATCAAGAGTACAAGTGTGAGCAGGTTTAGAGCGGCAAGCTGTTTTTTGATCTGCTTCATCTTTGATGATACAGTATTCACTGTTGTCACGTCGGCAAGCAAAAGCTATGTTGAGGTCTTTAACTGAAATATTGATGTTCTCTGCACTCTCGTTGATGACTTTACAAAGTAGTGTATTAATTTTTGGACATTGTTCCTTTTTTCCAGTAAAAATAACTTCAATATGCTTCCCACGATTAATGATGTACAAACGTTCATTTGGATCGTCATCATTTTTGTCAAAAGAGATCAATAATGACACTGCATCTCGAAACTGTGAGACATCATCAGGATTAGATAGCTGAACAACACATTCTTCTTGTTTGAGTAAACGGACAATTATCAGAGGGAAGATTCCTTGAGGTACATCGACAAAGACTTTTCCTACATCTTCCCTGGCCACTTGCTTTCTCCAAACATAAAGTAGAGGTTTTCTATCTTCTGGACTCTTTTCAAAGCTACCATTGTATGAACTTAAAGCAGAAGGAAGAAAATTGACTACATCTTCAGCCTGACTTATTTTTTTCTGTAGTTGAGCAATGATGTGGCATTTGTTAAGCAAATTGATGAAGTAATGTGGCTGGAATTTACCAGTGAATACAGTGAACTTTTTAAGAAGATTTTCTTTGAAGCGACCCTGATTTTTTAATAGGTCTATTTCAGTCCAAGTTATTTCCAATTTTGGTTCAAATACTTTCTGTGCAGTATCCTTATTGACATATGTGAGAGCCAATAATTGTGAAAGAATTTCAAGAATTTTCCGTGGGTCAACAAACACTAATTGTGGTTTGATATCAGGATAGTATAAAATAATGGTGCAATTGTGAAGGTAGGTTAGAGCATCTTCAACATCAGTAGGAGTCATGTAAAGTCTCTTACCTTCATCATCAGCTTCTTCTCTTGTAACAAAACCACCATTACTTTCAGCTTTTTTCTCTAAGCAAAGCTCAAAAACAAACAACCAGATCGGAATTTTTACTTTAAGAGAAGTCTGACTTCGATCTACAATTTTAAAAATTTCCTGGCTAACCTTCTTTCTTTCATCTGGGTCTTTTATTAA